GGGTTATTTTTTGCTTTATTTCAATTAAAATATTCCCATTGCCTTTCCATTTTTGTTTCCTCTTATCTTTTCATTCATCAATAGAGAAGAATTAAGTTTCCAAAAACCAGGTCCCCTTTTAGGGACTGATTGATTGATTTCAATGGTTATAGCTGAATGGTCACTGCGTTAGCTAAACTTAATATCACATTCATTAACAAACTCCCGTAGCCTACTAGAAATAAGAAAATAATCGATTCTACTCTGAGAACCATTAGATTGCGAAGTATATTGAATCTTACATGAGTTTTCAACACACCAAATATCAATCAAATCATAGTCCTCTTTTAAAATTTCAAGGCAGTCATAACAATTTAGGTTGATATTGTTTGAAGTTGGGTGTCTATCTAGAAAGGGGTTTTGTACCGTGTTCCAGTCTCCCCCAATAATTAGAGGCTCGGATCCATACGTTCCTAATATATCATGTAATTTATTTAATACATTACAATAGTCGCTATTGGGACCATATACATTGACAGCAGTAAAATTTGTATTATCATGCATTACATTTAATAAAAGAATTCGCCCTTGACCATCTCTGTGGATTGAGGAAATTTTCAAATTACTATTCGATTTAATCAAAATACATACTCCTGCGCTGCAAGATGTACCATGAGAAAAATAACATTTAAATCCCCATTCTTTATTACACTATGTATTTCTTGTAAAAGAAATATATCAAATTGCATGTTTCTTAACCAATCAAACATGCATCTTCTTTTTAATCTATCTCCTAGACCTCTTACATTGAGAGAACATATCTTAACATGAATTGTATGGTCAGCCATAATCTGTTGATGCATAAATAATTTTACAGTCGAATGAAATTGTTTTAAAGTTAATGAAGCCAATTGACATTATATAATACACGACAAATAAAAACAGCAAAACAGAGTACATACAAAATAAAAACGACAAAACAAAACAAAACAAAACAGAGATCGGGTCATTGAACATTTGAAATAAAAACCTAAAATGTGGACGTTGCTCCTTTGCAATCATCTTGTCCGCCTTAGTAAATAGTCGTAGGGCAAAACAAAACAGGAGCATCTAATATGTTCAGAATGTAGGCTTTGCTTATCAACCTACAGTAAATTCAAAGTGTTTATGGTTTAATAATATTGTTTTGTTGTCGGAGTCAATCGTATAAGCAGGCCATGTAGCTCGGTTATGTCTGATAATCTGAGGGTTTTTAGTGGACCAGGAGCATCTTTTGGACCGGTTTTGTACTTGATCACTCTTGGCACCGAGTAAGGGATGAACGCGAATTTGTTGTCTTGTCGCATCTTCTTCACCTTTACCATCAGCCGCTTGTGTTCTTCCCTGGTGTCTTTATGTACGTGATCCCCCAGCTGCTGTACGCCTTCCCCTCGGTGTGCGATGCGCCCTTCAATCTCGACCTCATGCATATATATTCAAATTTGTAGATAAGAACTTGTCAGCGTAAGTTGCGCAGTCTACCTCTTCTTCACCCTCAGGAATGCCGTGTAGGATTATGTTCTTTTCTTTGCTGCGGTTGACTAAGTCTACCACATTCTTACGGATCTCATTTGCATATTCGTAGTCTGCTTTTCTCACACGAATCTCACCCACATTTTCTTTTAATTCCGTCACCTCATTTTCAAGAAATTCTACACCATTTTCTAGATCTATTAATCTTGTGTCTAAATTCTTTAGCTTCTTCTCAATGCTCGTAACTTTTTCAGATATGTCGTCCACTTTCTTGCAAACTTCATCCAATATTGACACTTTTTGTAGTATAGTACGTAATAGCGATTCTGTGTTGTCAGTAGGAACCGTTTGTCCGAGGGTTCCTGTAGCTGTGGGCGTGGCACTTTCATTTTCCAATATTTGGTCTGTTTTTCTCCTTGTTTGTCTTCCGAACTTGACCTTCGAGATCGCTTAAAGTTAAACATATTTGTTGCTTGTAGTATATATGGCTGAAAATTGAATATAGTAGTTGAAAGCCGATGAAAAACTCAGTATTTACACGCAGCTCCGTTTGTCTTGCTTGACATTAAGGGCGCCCTTAGATTATAGTTGACGTCACACTTCACCACTTATTTTAAATTTGTTTAATACCAGTGTAACTGTGTCAGATTCTTTTCATTTCATATATCTGGGGACAAACCTTTGATAGACTTTTGGTCTTTTTTTGTTCCTCACATTTTTATATAACTTCAAGTTGATTGTTTTATTGAATTCTCTCCCACGATCCTATTCTATTATTTTTGTCTTAATTCATCTCCTACCTCTCTTTTTTCCTCCCTCTCGATCACTCCTATTGTTTCATTACATATTTTTTTTATTTCTGAACTCTAAATATAATATCCATCTTTCTTCTTTGATAAAATGTTACGTTAAAACGATTGTCAAGTCTGGGTCGTTGCTAAGATTTTTTTTAGGCATGATTGTGTAATCAAAGAAAATAATACTAAGCTGGTAGAATTGTTGTATATACTTTAATTTCTATGTTAAGTTTCACTCAATCATTGAGTAATTAATGTAAATATGTATTGAAATTAAGGAAATAAATACCTCGCTTGAGGATAAAAGAAAAAAATTAAGGCTGTTGCTGTTGTTGTTGTTACTGTTTTTATGCCTCCGCCACCGAAGGTGGTGCCGGAGGCATCATGTTTTCGGGTTGTCCGTCCGTCCCGTTTGAGAACCATTTAAGATTTAAACTTAAGACTCGGGAATAGTATTTATCACCATAGGAAGACGATCTGATTAGATTTTGGAGTACGTAGGTCAAAGGTCACAGGTCACAGAGGTCAACTTATGAAATTCCTTGTATTGAGTTTGTTAGCGCGATATCTCAAGAACCATTTGAGATTTAAACTTCAAACTTAAGGATAGTATGTATCACCATAGGAAGACGATCTGATTAGATTTTGGAGCACGTATGTCAAAGGTCAAGGGTCACAGAGGTCAACTTATGAAATTCCATACATTGAGATTGTTATCATGATATCTCAAGAACCACTGGAGATTTAAACTTCAAACTTAGTGATAGTGTGTATCACTATAGGAAAACAATCTGATTACATTTTGGAGCACGTAGGTCAAAGGTCAAGGGTCATAGAGGTCAACTTATGAAATTCCATACATTGAGATTGTTATCATGATATCTCAAGAACCACTGGAGATGTAAAAACTTCAAACTTAAGGATAGTATGTATCACCATAGGAAGACGATCTGATTAGATTTTGGAGCACGTAGGTCAAAGGTCAAGGGTCACAGAGGTCAACTTATGAAATTCCATACATTGAGATTGTTATCATAATATCTCAAGAACCACTGGAGATTTAAACTTCAAACTTAATGATAGTGTGTATCACCATAGGAAGACAATCTGATTAGATTTTGGAGCACGTAGGTCAAAGGTCAAAGGCCACAGCGCACATTATGAATGCAAAAACAGCTTGTGATCGCGTTATCTCAAGAACCGATCGATGGATTCATGCCAAAATTAGGTCATGTTTGTTACTTGCAGAGCCAATGAACTGAGTAGATTCTTGGTTCATAAGGTCAAAGGTCAAAGGTCATGGGCCCATTATGTATGCAAAAATAGCTTGTGAACGCATTCTCATTAGAACTGACAGATGGATTACTATTTAACTCAGAACATCTTGCAGAGCCAATGAACTGAGTAGATTTTATGGTCATGAGGTCAAAGATCAAAGGGTCATATATGTATATGAGAAATTGCTTGTAATCACAATATTCTGAGAACCTGTCAATGGATTACCATTGAACGTGAATTCAATTTTTTTTTTCTGTTTTGGTTTGTAAAATTGCTCTATAACGGAGGCATCATTTTCGACTGCGCGCAGTCGAATTCCATCTATTTTTTTACGTCGCTTTCATTGCTGAAGGTCATTTTTTTCGCCATTCATTTATAACTATTAAACAATCTTTTCATAATTAGTCAAGTGTATGGCCCATATGTTTATAAGTGTTCCAGAAGTCAAATATTGTTTAAGATAACCCAACAAAATTTAATAAAGTTTGGAAACGAAAACGTGACAAATGAAGCTACAACAAAGCGAAACATATTTAAAGGAAGAAAAAGCATTAATGTATAATTTTTCTTAATAAGTTATCCCTTCGGAGGAAGGGAATCTAAATTCTGACCCTACATAGCAGGGGCCGCGGAGCGTTTTTGAGAGTAGGGGGGGGGGGGGGGGGGGGTCTGAGCATGCGAATAATCTATACACCCCTTTTTCAGAGCTTTTATGAAACGTGTCTACTAAAAAAAAGCCCCAGCCACCCGGTTCCGCGGCCCCTGCATAGTTTGAGAGTTAAAAACACATGGCAGACCAGGCCTTTAGAGGGCGGTCAACTGGTATCAGTTGAAAGCACTATGAGTAGGTCACGCTCTGTGGTGGAGTCGTTTGAGCGGATTAGGATGATTGGGGCTTTCACGCAAACTAAGCCACGTTGCAGGAAGCAGGCGTGATTACAGCCACTCGAATTGATCCAAGGCGCCTAATAAGAGTCAATTCCAATAAAGTTTTGTATTTACCAAACTAAATCATAGCAACAAACCTTCTGACTTACGGGTCTTGTGTACATGAAATCTAGAGTTATGAATACCTTCAATACATTGATAGCAAATGTGTTTTTATGGGTATTATTAATTTCAGTGTAAGCAGGATAAGGTCTTGTCAATGCAAACTAGTTGGAAGCCTTATAAAGTAAACATATAGAATTAATAAAAAATCACTCTTACTAAATCATCCTCTCCATAGAAACTTTAGTGTGTTCTTTTTCTCAATAGACAAGAATTGAATTTAAAAAGAATATCTATTCTATGTTTTTTGTTGAGAATGTTATTATGAATACAGCTATGTAGTTATTAAAATTTGTGTTAAATGTAAGAATGAAATGAGAAATTAACAAATAAAAGATAAGCATGTATTTACGTGACACATAAATATATTCACATACAATACAGGTCCAGACTCTCAAGATTGATGAACTCCTGTGTGGTCCCTCACCAGCCGCATCACATCACCTTGCAGAAGCACTGTGTTCTATGCCAAACCTGACTGACCTGACACTTGGAAAAATTCTCCATTATAGGTTCTACTCTACATTGAATGCAAAGGCATCATCCATACTGGTATGTGTGTCCTTATTTAAATGTCATGGAGGATCATTGATTTACAGATACAGCAGTATTAGTTTTATGGTGCACATGTATATAATTATGTGGATATTTTTCCAAAGACCCTTTTTTAAAGGCCATTGATTTGGTGTATTGGAACAGTCATGAAACATGGAATTGAAGCAAACAACGCCTGTACTTATTCAGTTGAAATTTAAGCGTGTATAAGATTGAAATTGTTTTGACCAATAATTAATATCCAATGTTTTCCAAGTTTGATTGATAGTAAAAAAAAAAAATATATAGTTTTTTGAGAGCCAAGTTGAATAACGGCTTGAATTTACTAGACTAAACCATAGCAACAAACCTCCTGACTTACGGGTCTTGTGCACATGAAATCCAGGATTATGAATACCTTTAATACACCAATAGCAAATTTATATTTATGGCTATTGATAATTTCAGTGTTAGTAGAATTGGACATATCAATGCAAACAGGTTGGAAGCTCTATAAAGAATACACGATAGAATTTTGTTTAAATCACTCGCATTAAATCACCCTGTCCATAAAAAACTTTAGTTTGTTCTTTTTCTCCATAGACTAGAATTAAATTTGAAAAGAAATTCAATTCAATCATTTTTGTTGAGAATGTTATTATGAACACAACTATGTAATTAATGGAATTTGTGTGAAATGTAAGAATACAGTCAGCAATTTAAAAGTACATGAAGCATATGCCTGTATAGACGTGCTGTTCAAATATATTCACAAACAATGCAGCTCCAGACTCTCAAGCTTCATGGTGACAAGAGTCCCACACCAGCCGCAGCAATTCACCTAGCCGAAGCAATCTGTTCTATGCCAAACTTGACTGACCTGACACTTCGAAGGAATCTCAATGAGGAGTTCTACTATACATTGAAAGCAAAGGCATCATCCATACAGGTATGTGTGTCCTAATGTACATGTCATGTAGGGTCATTGATCGACAGATACAGCAGTACCGTAAATCTCTGTGTGTAAGGCGCCCCTGTGTATAAGGCGCACCCCTATTTTGTTGTTGTTGTTGTTGCCGAAAACCCACGCGGAGAAGGACTTCCATTTAACATCGAGGTGCAGTTGAAGGCGCCGATTTGTGCTTGTGAACTTGTCACAAATAATAGTAACAATGTCGATTTTAGAAGAATGTGTAAGATCATTAATGTAACTTAAAAACAGTTGAGTAGAACCTTGTGGTACGCCATGTGTGATAGAAGAAAAATTTGAGTAATTATTATTATAAACTACATATTGAGATCTATTAGAAAGATTTCTTTCAAACCAAGATGACAGACAAATTTGAGTGTTGTTGTAGTTTCCGAGTGGTGAGTCAACACACAGATTACTGAGCTGGGAGACATTGCCAGGCATAGTGCCAGGCATTCAGCTATTTTAATGAAGAAATATGTTATCATGTTCATGAACAGAGGCTTAAAACTCCAAAACATGTACACACACACTCAAAAACGATATGTCATGATTTTAAAATAATGGGAAAATAAACATCAGTGTCTCCAAACTCAAACTTTTGCCAACAAATCTTGCGCGCGCGATCGCTCGACAATCAGTACAGTGACAAATACTAGATACACAGTACAATCTAGTAAACAAAGTACATCCATGAATGCCACGCCACGCTTAGCTAGCTTGTGCCTCGTTGATCGACATGGCGCTATGAATGATTCACGAATTCATGCCGAGCCTTCATACAATATGAATGGCTGAGATCACGTAAAACGCGGCAAAATGAGGTAGTGTAAATACGTCACAGCGAGGGCTTGGCCCTGGGGCTTGCGTGATGAATGGCTCGAGCACTAGCTACAGCGCATGGTAGTTAGAACAAACCACAATACCACATGTCGGTCATTTGTAAAATTAATGAATATTCATTACAGATTCGGTTAAAAGGAGCGAGAAATGCTTAACGGTTTTGATGAATACAGTCGTTTAACCGTCAGTTAAACGTTTTGACTCGGGCTTATACCAAACTAAACCATATTAAGAAACCTCCTGACCTAGGGGTCTTGTCCAAATGAAATCAGAGTTATGAATACCTTTAATACATCAATAGCAAATGTATATTTATGGGTATTATTAATTTCAGTGTTAGTAGGAGTAGGATTATCAATGTAAACAGTTTGGAAGCCCTATAAAGAATACATATAGAATTTGTTTTACTATCACTCTTACTAAATCACCCTCTGCGTAGAAAGTTTAGTGTTTTCTTTTTCTCAATAGACAAGCACTGAATTTGAAAATAAAATCTGTTTAGTATTTTTTGTTGAAAATGTTATTATGAATACAACTATGTAGTTTTTAAAATTTGTGTTAAATGTAAGAATGAAATGAGAAATTGGTACATAAAACATATGCATGTACCGTGTGAGTCAAAAAAAAGTTTACAACCTAGAAAATTGCTCATTATTTTTCAATTCATCTATGAACAGTAAATTATTATTCTTCTTCTCTAAGTGCCATATCGTTTGACCTCGGCTCCTAGCCTTCTGTATTAGTACCACTCCCAGTTCTTCACTCCTCTCTCTTCCAACAATTTTTGCAGACTGTCCATCCAAAGTATCCTCCTTCTTCCCCTACTCCTTCTTCCCACAATTTTCCCTGTCAAAGCAAGATTCTCTAGGCCTTCTTTACGTGTAATGTGACCCATGAACTTCAACTGCCTAATCAACATCTCACGTATCATTTTCCTTTGCACTCCAGCTCTTGTAAGAACTTCCTCATTACTAACTTTGTCAGTCCAGGGGATTTTCATCATTCTTCTTAGAAACTACATTTCACAACTTTCCAGACGCTTTTTAGTATCAGAGGCTAAAGTCCATGTTTCACTACCATACATAAGTACTGGGTAGATGTCACAATTCAATACTCTCATTCTGGTCCTCATACTCATTGTTCGATTTGTCAGAATTTTGCCTAACTTCGAAAATGCAGATTTAGCGAGAGCTATCCTCTTGATCTCTGTCTCACATCTGGCATCCTCGGTAATCATGCTGCCGAGGTAGTTAAATGAGGAGACTTGTTTAATGATCTGTTCTTTCAGTTTCAAGTTACATTTTGGACTGCCCTTCTTGGATACCACCAGGCACTTTGTCTTGGTATAGTTGATCTCTAGTCCCATTCTCTCACATTCTTTTACAACTACATTCAGGAGTCTCTGGAGATCTTCCTCTGATTCAGAAAATAAAACAGTGTCATCAGCATATCTATTATTTGTGATTGAATGGCCACCCACTTGTATCCCATTTTCATCTTCCAATTCTCTTAGAATGATTTCACTATACATATTGAACAGGTCTGGCGACATAACACAACCCTGTCTGACTCCCCGTTTGATGTTGATATATTCACTACACTCTCCTTCTACCCTGATGCATGCAAACTGATTCCAATATAGACTTTGTAGCAGTCTTATATCTTTCCTATATATATCAAGCTTTTTCAGCTCTTCAAACAGTTCTGAATGTCTTACTCTATCAAAAGCCTTTGAATAATCAATAAAACACATGTACACATCCTTTTGCATTTCGACTGCTCTCTCCGTTATATTTCTAACCACAAATATTGCATTTCTTGTGCCCGCATCCTTTACAAAACCAAATTGTTCCCTTCCGACCATGGGAGTTATTTTACTTCTTGCTCTCAAAAGCAAAATCCTTAAAATAATCTTAGTGATATGGCAAATAAGGCTGATTGCCTTATATTGCTCACAATTCACGGCTCCCGGTTTTTGGGGGAGAGTAATGAAAATGAATCTGCCCAATTCATCTGGAAATGTTCCGTCATCATATATTTTGTTGATAGTTTCTGTTAATCTATCAACACCATATTCCTCTAATGCTTCAAACATTTCAGTGACCACACCATCTGGTCCAGCTGCTTTGTTCTTCTTCATCTTTGACATTGCCCAACGGACTTCAGATTTAAGAATTTTCTCCCCTTCGACTTCATCTGCAAATTCGGCATTGCTTCCCTACTATCCTCAAAAAGTTTGCCAATGTATTGCGTCCACCTACTCATTTTGTCCTTCATTTCAAACAGGATTGACCCATCTTTTCCTTTGATACAGCCAGGGTTTGAACAACCAGACTTTTTACCTGAAATTTCATTTATTCTTTGGTAAACATTACTATTCTTATCATTTCTGCACATTGTTCGTTTAGCCAGCTCTCTTTTGCCTCATTACACTTTTGCCTCATTTGTTTGTTTAGGTCCCTATATTTCTTGCATTGTCTATTTCCAATTTTCTGTCTATCTTTCATCATTAAAAGAATCTCCTCTGTCATCCATTTGTTCTTTCTTTTTCTCTCTTTTGTCGGCACATACTCTTCCGCTGTTTCTACCAGAATATTTCTCATCGTCTCCCACATGTTTTCTTCACCTTCATCTACGAGCAACTCAAACCTATTCTTTACTTGTACAGTAAATTCCTGACGTATGTCCGGTTTACTCAACTGTTTAAAATCCAATATTTTCACAACTTTTGGCCTCTTGAGTTTCTTTAATTTGCACTGGAGTGTACATATTACCGGCACATGATCACTCCCGCAGCCAGCCCCTGGATAAGTTTTTGAGTGTTTCACTGCTCTTTTAAATCTGCTATTTATGTCAATATAGTCTATCTGGTTTCTGACGATGTCGCCATGACTCTTCCAAGTGTATACTCGTCTAGGGTGTTCCTTGAACCAAGTATTAGTGATGACCATGTTCTCCCCCTCACACCACTGAACCCATCTGTCCCCACGTTCATTCCTTTCACCAATTCCATGCGGACCTACTGCATTGCCCTCCGTACCATGACCGACTTTAGCGTTCAGGTCTCCCAGGACAATGACAATGTCATTCGATTTGCACTGAGATTTAGCTTTATCTAAGGAATCATAAAAGGTGTCAATAACTTCGTCAGCACTATCTGCCGTTGGTGCATAAACCACTTTGATTGAGATGTTAAAAGGGTGTCCCTGTAATTTCACTAGGAGCACCCTATCACTTACACACCAGTGTCTGAACACACTCTTTGAGATATCTGGATCCAGCAGTAACCCCACACCTCTTTCATGCTTTTCACCTCCTGCATAAATCAATCTGTACTCATCTATCACAAACTCGCCGTTATTCAGCCATCTTGTTTCATTTAATCCCAGTATGTTGACATTTAGCCTCATCATCTCTTGTTTAACATTCTCCAGCTTGCCGCTCTGATACAGTGTTCTCACATTCCATGTTCCAACTCTGATGGTATTCCTATTGCGAACAGTAGCTTGTCGACGGTCGGGGCCCACCTGTCACCCATGGGACACCCTACCGGGCGAGGTGCTTGTCCCTTGAGGTAGACAAGCCCCCTTTACGCCTTTGTCTTTTGCTATTATACATCTTATGAAAGAGTGTTTTATCCCAAGTCATTTGGTACCATTTTTGTGTGGTATGTGTTCACGCTTGGATGAACAGGTGGCATTGTTTGCGAGAGTGCAAAAATCGAATTACGCCAAAGTGATGCCTACAGTATGTATTATGTTGGGATTAGCGAGTGAGAGAATGGATTGAATGTATCAAATGAAATGCATTGCATATGTTTTTTTCAAAGGGCAAAGTCACACACACCCACACACACGCGCACAAATGTTAGTTGATATTTGATATGTGTGGCATGATTAATTTTGCTAGGGGTGTTATTTGGATCTGCAAAGACCAAATTAATACCCAAATCCCAATTTTTTTATTCAAACATAACATAGACAACTTTGGCGCAAGTCGATTTTTGCACTCTCGCAACAATGTCTCCTGTTCATCCAGGCGTGAACACATACCACACAAAAAATGGTACCAAATGATTTGGGATAAAACACTCTTTCATAAGACATATAACAGTTTAATGTTCATCAATGATTTTTTTAATAATTAGCAATTTTCTAGGTGTAAACTTTTTTTTGACTCACACTGTATAGACGTGCTGCTTTAATATATTCGCATATGATGCAGGTCCAGAATCTCAAGCTTGATGATGCCCAGGAACTCAAACCAGTCTCATCACATCACTTTGCAGAAGCGCTGTGTACTATGCCAAACTTGACTGACCTGACACTTAAAGGGTATCTCAAGGATGAGTTCTACTCTGCATTGAAAGCAAAGGCATCATCCATACAGGTATGTGTGTCCTAGTGTACATGTCATGGAGGGTCATTGATCGACAGAAAACAGCATTAAGTGTTATATGCTGCACATGTATGTATGTGGTTTTCTTTCCAAACACCTTTTTTAAAGGCCATTTACTTGGTATATTGGAACAGTTATGAAACATTGAATTCGAGCAAACTACACCTATACTGATTCAGTTGAAATTGAAGTGCGTATAAGATTGACATTTCAGTGACCAATAATCAATATCCAACCTTTTCCAAGTTTCATTGGAAGGAAAAATATGCCATAAAGTTTTTTAAGAGCCAATGGTTATAAAGGCTTTTATTTACCAAACTGAACCATAGCATCAAACCTCCTGATTTAGGGTTCTTGTGCACATGAAATCCTGGATTATGAATAACTTTAATACATCAATAGCAAATTTATGTCCATGGGTATTTTTAATTTCAGTGTTGGTAGGAGTTGGACTTATCAATGCAAACAGGTTGGAAGCCCCATAAGAATACATATAGAATTGTACACAAAATCACTCTTACTAAATCATCCTCTCCATAGACCCTTTAGGGTGTTCTTTTTCTCAATAGAAAAGAATAGAATTTGAAAATGAAATCTATTCAATCTTTTTTGATGTGAATGTTATTATGAATGCACGTTTGTAATTGATTGAATACAGTCTGAAATTAGTAAATAAAAGATATGCATGTATATACCGGTACGTGATACTTAAATATAGTCACATACAATGCAGGTCCAGACTCTCAAGCTTGATGATCTTGTGTGTTTCACACCAGCCTCGTCACATCACCTTGCAGAAGCACTGTGTTCTATGCCATACCTGACTGAGTTGACACTTGGAGGGGTTCACAAAGAGGAGTTCTGCTCTACATTGAAAGCAAAGGCATCATCCATTCAGGTATGTGTGTTCTAATGTACATGTCATGGAGGGTCATTGATCGACAGAAATCAGCAGAAAGTGTTATATGGTGCACATGTATGTGTGTGGCTTTATTTCCAAAAACCCTTTTTGAAGGTCCCTTTTGCAGCCAACATCAAATTCTGTAGAACCTTGCAGGAATTGCGAATATGTCATGTATATCCTATCTGTGAAATTTAAACATTAGCATTGTCCTAATATTCAAATTATGCAAGGAAATCCGTTTACTTGCTAGATTTCACTGTCGGACACTAATGAGTGACTGACTGGCTTTTTTATTCTTTGGTAATAACATACATAAAATGAGCTGTGAAGGGTACATGAGCATTTGTCTACATCAATAACCCACTTCTTGTAATGGCCAAAATTAAACTGATTGAATCTTTGCGCAGCACAAAACGTACAACCATTCGGTATAATGGTCTGAAAATCAGACTATTACTTATTATCTTGGTAGCACTTGAGTCGATTTGAGAAACTAATAGTCGTTATTTTCCCACTTAAAAGACATTTTCAAGCCCCCCTTCCTTAAGGAAGTTCTAAATTAGTATTATCTTTTAAATGCTGTTGGAATTTAAACTTTTCATTTTTTGGGCCTGCAAATAAATGAATTGAATTGAATTGAATTGAATGGGACATGATACCTTTTAACTCCATTCACTTGGTATATTGGAACAGTTATGAAACATGGAATAAAAGCAAACTACACATGCACTGATTCATTTAAAATTAAAATATATATATATAAGATTGACATCGTTTTGATCAATAATCACTATCCAACCTTTTCCAATTTGATTGATAGTAACAATAATAAGTCATATATTTTTTTTAGAGCCAATTTTGATAAAGGCTTGAATTTACCAAACTGATCCATAGCAACAATCCTCCTGACTGTAGGGGTCTTGTGCACATGAAATCTAGAGTTATGAATACCTTCAATACATTAATAGCAAATGTGTACTTATGGTTATTATTAACTTCAGTGTTATTAGGAGTATGACTTATCAATGCAAACAGGTTGGAAGCCTTATAAAGAATACATATAGAATTTTAAAACAATAAAGATCATCCTCTCCATAGAATCTTTAGTGTGTTTTTTTGTCAGTCGACAAGATTTGAACTTAAAATTAAAATCTGTTCAATCCTTTTTGTTGAGCATATTATCTTGAACACAACTAATCTTACTAAATCACCCTCTCCATAGAAATTTTAGTGTGTTCTTTTTCTCAATAGACAAGAAATGAATTTGAAAATAAAATCTGTTCTGTATCTTTTGTTGAGAATGTTATTATGAATACAACTATGTAGTTATTAAAATTTGTGTTAAACGTAAGAATGAAATGAGAAATTAGTGTTAAATCATATGTGTGTATACCGTATTTGCCGGCGATAAGGCCACACCCCCAACCTTGACATTTCGTAGAGGGAAAAAGAAAAAGAACGAAAGGAAAATAAAACAGATGGACCAAACAAAATAATCGTAATTTTCTTGCAGAACACTATTTTTTCTACAAACTGATACCAAATTCATCAATATTCTTATAAATTTACAGGTAGTTTACCTAAAAAAATATCGTAATTTAGCAAATCTTCATAGACTTTAAAGCTAGTACTGTATCGCAGGCAGATTTGGTATCCTACATATACCCCTACCACAATGTGCGGTGTAATACAAATTTGCGACTTCGGCTGGATGCACACTTGCGCAGTTGCGTTGCAATAGCACAAACTTAGAGCTAGATCTACCGGTAGATTTTTTTAGAAAAATAAATTATGCAGTATATTTTCGTCTTCATGTCAACAATGCAACATAAAATTGTTGGTAAGATGTGTGGAGTTATTCTAGAAATGTCCTGTACCATTGCTTAGTCATTGTAGTCCCATATGTCCGAATGGACGTGCTGTTTTGACCGCTGAATTTTTAGTTGTTGCGCAAAGGTCGCACCCAGACTTTTTGATATTTTCTCTTCCGAAAATACTGCAGCCTTTTCGCAGGCAAATACAGTGGCCTTTTCGCCGGCAAATACGGTAGATAAGTTGCTTACCGGTAATTATATTCACTAACAATGCAGGTCCAGACTCTCAAGCTTCATTATAACCAGTGTCCCACACCAGCCTCATCGATTCACCTAGCCGAAGCGCTGTGTTGTATGCCAAACCTGACTGACCTGACACTTGGAAAGTTTATCTTCGAGGAGTTCTACTCTACATTGAAAGCAAAGGCATCATCCATACTTGTATGTGTGTCCTTATGTAAATGTCATGGAGGGTCATTGATTGACAGAAAAAGCATTAATAATTATATGGTGCACATGTATACCGGTATATGTTTTTTTTCTTCCAAACACCCCATTCTTTAAAGGCCATTCACTTGGTATATTTGAACAGTCATGAAGCATGGAATAAAAGTAAACAACACATGTATTGATTCAGTTGAAATTCAAGTGTGTATAAGATTGACATTAACAGTAGGCTTGCGGATGCACCATGTGAGAGAGAGGGAGGATTGAGAAGTCCTGAAAAGGGTGTGTAGTCTTGAAAAGGACTGTTTGTTATCTTTCTTGGCTTATAGTTCTAAGGAGAACTATAGGGTTGGAGAGGATGGGTGGTGGGAGTGGCTCGACGTTTCAAACAGGTCGACTATCCGTCGTCAGGAGTGGAGAATAGCTGGCGTGCATGAGCTTAAGTCACCGGGTTGCGGATGTGGGGGTACTATACATGACCGTGTGGGCTTGAGTAACCGGGGTGTGGACTTGGGCGGTCTGCTTGTCCGTCTGGGCTGGAGTCTCCAGGTTGCGGATTTGGGGGAGCTTCGAATCGGATTGGGGCTCAGTGTTGTGGCGTGGCGTTGAATTTTGATGACATACACACCGAATCCGAGAAGCCATCAAAATTCACCGCCACAACACCCTGCCCCAAGACTCGGGATTATACATCAACGTCATCTGGAAACCCCTCATCAACAAGTACCCGGTCACTCCTCCTCTACCACTGCCATCACCACCACCTTCACCTCCCCCGCAGACACCCGTACATCAACCACCGCTACCCGCCGAACCCACAAAGAAGCCGCCAGCCTCACAGCTACAATGCACAGCAGACGATAGCAGACTACAACGCCACCTATGTTGGGGACACACAGCGTCTCGCCGTCAGCACACCCCACTCATGGATTCGAAGCTCCCCCAAGTCCGCAACTCGGAGACTCCAGCCCAGACGGACAAGCAGACCACCCAAGTCCACACCCCGGTGACTCACGCCCACATGTTCATGTATAGTACCCCCACGTCCGCACCCTGGTGACTTAACCACTTGACTGCGAGCCACGTACATGTACGTGGTCTTGCATGCCCTGTACGCACCACGCACATGTACGTGGTTAGGGCATTGCACTTTCAAGACCTTAGCACTGCAAACTGCCTAGCCCTGCTGTGTAATTAGCACTTCAATGATGTTATACATGTCTCGAACAGTAGATGGCATTCTTTCAACAAAAAAATGGCCTTTTCGTGTACGGCACTTTTTCACAAAAAAATATGGCCTTTTCGTGTACAGTGTACACTTTTTGAACAGTACAAAAATGCTGTAGCACAGGGGGTATGCCGGGCGTTTTAAGCCAATAGCAGTCATGTGGTTAAGCTCACGCACGCCAGCTATTCTCCACTCCTGACGACGGATAGTCAACCAGTTCGAAACGTCGAGCCACTCCCGCCACCCATCCTCTCCAAGCGCTATAGCTATCCTTAGAACTATTGCTAAGAAAGAGAACCAACAGTCTTCTTTAAGACTCAAAATCCAACCTTTTCTGAAATTGATTGATAGGAGAAATATTAGTTTTTTGAGAGCCAATTTTAATAAAGGCTTGAATTTTACCAAACTGAAACATATCAACAAGCCTTCTGACTTATGGGTCTTGTGCACATGAAATCCAGAGTTATGAATACCTTTAATACATTAAAAGCAAATGTATATTCATAGTGTTATTAATTTCAGTGTAAGTAGGAGTAGCACTTATAAATGAAAACAGGTTGGCAGCCCTATAAAGAATACATATAGATTTTTTTTTTAAATCACTCTCGATTAATCGCCCTCTCCATAAAAAGTTTAGTGTGTTCTTTTTTCAATAGACCAGAATTCAAATTGAAAAGAAAATCTGTTCAATCTCTTTTGTTGGGAATTGTTAATATGAATACAACTATGTAATTAATAGAATTTGTGTAAAATGTAAGAATACAGTCCGAAATTAATAAACTAGACATTGAATTCATTACGGAGACGAATTAGGTGATCTGCAGCTTTGATCGAGACATAACACATGTAGAAACTCGATGGGAAATTTGGTCTTTAAAAAAAATCTTGATCTTTACTCATATAACACGCCTACCGGTATGTACTAGCTCATTAGGAGATTTATTACACTCTGTAGCCGTTCATCTAATAAGAGAGGGTGAATAAGAAATGCGGACTTTAAAAAAAAAATCTCACCCTCCATTCATGTAATTCATATAATGGCACATTTTGCAGTGTTCACCTTAAATGGGAATTTTGCCCACGTTCTCGTCTTCTGATCTTAAAATTGAATCGTATTACATTTGTAGAGTAAAGTCTCAGCTACTACATAATAAAATATGGGAGATATCGTGAAGGGACAACAACGGCAAATATTACCTCATAGAATCAAATTCATTTGTTTTCCTTTAACCCTATTTTAACTGGGCTATTTCAGAACCCTTTTTTACTGGGGGGGGGGTCAATTTGACCCCCCCCCCCAAGATCTTGACCGTTTCACAGCCGATCACTGCGAAAATTTGCATGCATGTCAAGTGAAGTGTTTGAAATACTATGGTAATTTCCCTTTTTTTTAAAATCATCCATTTGTATATTTATGGAAATTCACATTTTTACCCATAAATCATATATTATTCATATTTAAGCATTTTTTTTTCCCTGCATATATTCGTTAGACCTTGTGGAATAATAATAAAAATAAAAAAATTGGAAGAGCCAGATTATTTCTTATGATATCTCTTGTTTTTATATTTTTATGTATTTCATTGTTTTTTAACTTATGTATTCTATTGTTTTTGTTGTTTTATTTCATTTCTAGCTGCAATTCAACTATTTTGACCCGAAGACAAACACCTTAACTTTAAACAAGACCAAATAACCAATGTTTTATCTCTTTTGGGGAAAAAGGATATTTCCATATGTTTTGTACACAAATCACTAAAATGAGCGAAGTTCGGGCTGACATGCAAAGACAAAAGGTCACGTGACTTTGTAACTATACATCCGATTTTCACAAAAAAAGTTTTAAAAGATGCGTAAGACTTGAAAGAAAAAAGTCAAGAAAAGAAAACTTTGTATCTGCCGCAGTCCCGGAGAAATCGCTAAATTACTATAGGGGGGTGTCAAATTGACCCCCCCCCCCCCCCCCCCCGTTAACGTAGGGTTAAGGGGCACTATGTTGACGTCAAAACGTTCTAACAGCAAACGTGATACATGAAATCGCATCTCCAATTCATACTCTATCAGAACATGAAACAAATGGGGGGTTACCAGCCATTCTGAAGAGTTATAGAGGATCTAAAATAGGTACCTTTTTTTTGCCACTTTTGGCAATTTATGCATATGTATGCATGCATCGCTTTTGAGGTTTAACAAACGTTTATGAGCTAAATTTAGGTCAATAATGGCTAAAAGTGATTTCAAATAGCTAAGAATAGTATCAGCAACACAACACAAAACAGATGGCATGTGCAAAACCTCGCGCGCATGCATACACATGCTTGAAATTTTTAATGGGTGTGACCAAAAGTTTACCCATGACATCAAGCAAGTTATGGATATCAAATATGATTCAGAATTGACATTGTATGACTGAATTTTGGTCAGTAATATAAATTAACAAAATGGTGCCTAGATGACGTCACGCATCAGTAATACAAAAAATCTCTTTGTAAGGATCAATAATCATTTCATGAAAATGTCATTGTCATTAACCATGTCATTCATGAGATATGAAGCAAATAAAATCCATACAGTAAGAATAGGAACAAAAAAAGACTAGATGGATTCTGACAAAATCAATAGATGCTCTGCTACGCTATGCGGCAGATCACCTAATTAAATATATGCATATGTAGGTGTGCTGCTTAAATATATTCACAAACAATGCAGGTCCAGACTCTCAAGCTTTATGATGTCAAATGTCCCACACTAGCCTCATCACATCACCTTGCAGAAACACTGTGTTCTATGCCAAACCTGACTGACCTGACACTTGGAAGGAACCTCAATGAGGAGTTCTACTCTACATTGAAAGCAAAGGCGTCATCCATTCAGGTATGTGTGTCTTAACCCTTACTGTACTGGGGTGGGGGGCCTGCCCCCCCCCCCCCCCCATGGTGACATTTTGTGAGATTGCGCTGCAACTGCTTGACATTTTGAATTGTTGTTTCATGACTTTTTTTCTCTCAAGTCTTACGCACATTTTGATGCCATTTTTGTTGAAATTGGGTATACTTGTAAGGTATTTCATAACAATTAGTATGCGTATGTCATCAAAAAGTGCTATAAGCAGAAACGTGAATACAGGTTTAGATGTTTTTCTTCCTAAGTGGGAGATATGAATTGATATCAAATTGCTTTTATATGTTTCTCAAAGTAACAAAAGAATACATTAAAAATAAAACAATAGATATAATAAGAAATAAAAACAATGAAATACATAAGAAAATAAATATTTGATAATTGCATCAAATTTGCATAAATTATCATTATTAATTACATCAAAATAACTTTTTGTGTTAAAAAAGAAGTTTCATATGAATAATGAGTTTCAAGATTCAAAAAGTGAGGTCTGACAATTTTTGTAATGGTTTAAGTTCCCTGTGTATTTTCAGATTTTATATTCATGATACGTAATTTGCATATTCATGATTTATGCAAATTAACCCATGCATTTTCATATATAAAAATAATTAAAACCTCATGAATTTGAGATGAAGGAAACATTTATTCAATACTTTTTCAAGATTCTTCACCAGTCTACAGACAAATATAGTTTTCTGTAAAATGCATAAAATAAGCATTTTGCACAATTAATTAGGCTATAACAACAAAAAATTGCATATTAGGACAAAACTAATTATACCAAATTGTTCCTTACATAAATATCTACAATCATGCAAATTTTCGTGTTCATCGGACATTCGACGGCCAAGATCATAGAGGGGGGCCTTCGTGGCCCCCCCCCCCCCCTCAGTCAGTGAGATGCTCAAAATATCCCAGTACAGTAAGGGTTAATGAACATGTCATGGAGGGTCATTGATCGACAGAAACAGCAGTAATATTTATATGGTGCACATGTATATATGTCAGCTTTTTTCCAAACACGCTTTTTGAAGGCCATTCACTTAGTATGTTTGAATAGTCATGCAACATGGAAATAAAGCAAACTACACCTGTACTGATTCAGTTGAAATTCAAGTTTGTATAAAATTGACATTGTTTTGACCAATAATCAATATCCAACCTTTTTCCAAATTTGATTGATATGAAAATATATCATATAGTTTTTTGACAGCCAATTTTAATAAATGCTTGAATTTTAGTACCAAACTGAACCATAGAAACAAACCTGACTTTAATACGGGTCTTCTGCACATGATATGAATGCCTTTAATACATTAATAGCAAATGCATATTTATGGGTGTTATTAATTTCAGTGTTATTAGGAGTATGACTTATCAATGCAAACATTTTGGAAGCCCTGTAAAGAATACATATATAACTTTGTTTTTTGTCCTTTTACTCAATAGACAAGAATTGAATTTGAAAATAAAATCTGTTCAATCTTTTTCTTTGAGAATGTTATTATGAATACAACTATTTAATTAATGGAATATGTATAAAATCGTTCCTGTTTTCATGAAGTGACGGTAGTAAGGAAAATCCGCATGCAAATTGTATGGGATTTTCATTCACAACCGTCACTTTGTGAAAATAGGGACGAAATGAAAGAATACAGTCAGAGATTATAAAATAAAACATGCACGTATTGTATAGACCTGCTACATAACTATTTTCACACACAATGCAGGTTCAAATTCTCAAGCTTGATGTTTTCAAGTGTCCCACATCAGCCTCATCGATTCACCTAGCCGACGCACTGTGTTCTATGCCAAACCTGACTGACCTGACACTTGGAATGCTTCTCAATGAGGAGTTTTACTCTACATTGAAAGCAA